ACAGTCCATGATTACCTTCTTCTAGAGTTGATCCAAGACTTTGAGTTTCTGAGCAAGAAAAGCAAGTGGTTCTCCATATCTCTGGTCAATATGCACTGGATATCCAATATTCAGTTTACAGACAAACTCATACAAACTGATTCCTGGCACTACAATTACAATTAAAACAATAATTGGTTGCCTCCCTGCCAAGATTTAAATCATAGTTGTACATCTTGTGGCTGAAGGTCACCTGGTATCCTTCATTATTTTTCCGTAATTGTCACCAATTTTCAATAGTCTGTACAAGTGCTATCCCTGCAAATATTCGCAGTGCACTCTGTCTTTTCAACTGTTGCTCCCATCCTTGTTTTAGTGTGGTAAGGCAAGAACAAAGCCAACACTACTATCAGCTGTAAGTAGAGGATGGCTGCTGGGGGATCTGGCTTACAGCCCTTGGAGCGGGGTTGCCCAAACACCTCTCAAGGTAGCCTCTAGCTTCTATGCTCAGAGTAATTTATGATCAGCCAGGCTTTAGGGATTAACTTGGGCCAAGAACTGCATCTGCTGGTGGTGATTTCCAAGTATGTTAAAATTAAACTCTGTGGTTTTAAGACTGGATAAAGTGGGAGAGGGCAAGTCTAGGGGAGAAATCAACTTACTACAAATATGGCAGAGATGGATCCTGACACAGCAACCCACTTTGACTGTACTCGCCATGTGCAATTCCTAAGTTTTCCACAGGAGCTACTTAATACCCTTTAAACCAAAAAGAAGCAATGCATTTCTCATTTAAATGAATTCATTGATTTTCTATTTTCTTTTGTTTTCCTAGTAGTTTCCTTCTCCACCAACTGCCCTCTTATGGGTACCTCATAATAAAGAGGATAGCAAATACCATTGATAACAGGTATTTGATATTTCAGAGCCCTATCCAACAAACAAAGCAGATTCTATGCTGTACAGCTGGAAGCAACTCATTTTCTTCAGGACAGACCAGAGATGGACTGTAAAGAGATAAACTTTATTTAGAGACATGTTAACTAGGCATTGGCTGGGTTCAGCATTGTGCTTAACCAGGGTTTACTAAAAAAAAACTACAATTGGCTGGTTTACACAACATAACAACATAAAATCAAAGGGACTACATTGTAGATTAATGTGTTGTGTGAACCAGGCAAATATCTTCCTATACAGAGTTGGAATACACAAATTATGCTTTTTAAAGTTGACCTAGAATTTTATTTCCAAGAAATGTGGATTATCTCTGTTTGAATATCTCTCTAAATATTCTAAATTCAGAGAACTACTATACAAGCTACACTAATTAATATGAAACTATTTAATTCCCTTGGTTTATTCTGCAGCCAAAACAGAAATTTGCAGAGACATCTAGGCAGGGATCAAGCAGAGAACCCAAACAGAGGTACAACAGGAAAGCAACACAATGCAGAGTTACAAGAAAAAGACCCTGGACCTCTGGGGCAAAGGGGAGGGGGTAAAAGAACACTAGGAAATAATCAAACACCCATTTCATTTAAGGAAATGGAATGCATGCTAAATTAAACTAAGATAAGTGTAGCTTTGATTTCTCTGAAGAGTCATGAGAACCTTAAGTTTGGTCTTAAGGATCATACATATTCTGATGCATTCTGCAAAAGAAAACTGGGTCCTATTTTGGTATCATCAGTAATGCCCAAATGTGACTTCTGGACACTACACCTACTTATCCCTCTGCTGCTGTCCCACCATCCTCAAATTAACTTAGCTACATTCATGTTGAACCTGCCTGTCCCTTTTCAGAGGCTCTGTTCACGTACCAGCTATTGGCTGCCAGGCAGAAAGGATTTTTATGCCAGAAGCCAATTGTCACTACTACTACCTCCATGTTTTGGGAGCCCATTTCCCACAAAACCATCACAATCCTTCCAGCTGACATTCAAGACTTATTTTAAAATTATGCCTTATGGCTGGTATTTTGATTCAATGTGCATGGTACAGCCTTGAACAGAGTTTTAAAATTGAGTCCAATCATAACAGCAAATCTCATACACTCTTATATCCTGCTTAGAGTTGTCTGATTGAAATAGATTACTAACTCACAGATAAATATAGTAAACTGTTTCTAGGTTTCTATCTGTGAAAGGTCATTCAGACTGATTCACACAAGTGTACAACAAAAAAGTACTGTTTCAAGTTTAGCTAAAGACAGCTATGTGGTTGTCCTCTTCCAGAGTGATCAGCTACAAACTCTGGTCCTCAAGAACCAGCTTCATTATGGAACTATAAAAAACAGGAAGTAGAAATATGAAGCCACTAACTTCTGTTCTTTCATCATTAGAACTGTCATGAGGAAGTGATAATTGTCCATTACAGATTGCAGTGAAATAGTGAATAAAAAGAATTCCAGCTTTTTTACACTGGATGCCCACAGACCAAAACCACCAAGCTAACAGTTGCTCCTTTCAATGGAAGCGTGGGGAGGAATAAATAAATTTGAATCCCTCCCTTATGCTTTTTTAACATTCATACAGAATTTTAGGTTAAGTATTTCACAGGAGGAAGAGATGAGTAGTGGAATCTCCTGCACTGTGCTGGGAAGAGAGAAAGGCCATCCCCCTTAAGCTTTAACCTACAACTTCAGGTAACTCACATTTTGCAGAGCAGAATACCTTTTATAATGGGATACATACTGTATTTGTTACTCCAGGTTCCTGGAGGCCAGCTGTCTCCTGTGTCTCTACCCAGTTCTTTAAACTAGGAAAGACCAGGAAGGAGCAGTGCAGATCTCCCCAGCTTCCCTATCATGAGCAAATATCTGATCAAGCTAGAACCATTTATCCCCATCATTTCCTTTCTTCTATTAGTCTTCCCCAACCTGATACCCTTCTGAGGTGCCAGCTAACAGACCTCTTGTCCCCAGCCAGCTCAACCACAATCGAAAACACTACATAGCTAGTGAAAAGCACAGCAGAAGGTTAGCACAGCTAAGAAAACTAGAGATGTCCAAAGCAATAAACAAAGCTAGCCTGTATTTTAGTACACAGATTGTCACTGAAAAAGTCTAAAGCAGAGGGAGGGAGCAAAGGAAGAATTTCATTCAGAAAGAAGAGAAGGGAGGATAAAGCTCTTCTGCTACATGCTTTTTGCCTGGTTCCAGCTGCCCTGTTCCCATCGCTTTACTTCTGGAAGGGATTAGCTTGCTTTTTTGTCACCTCCTGGCAGAGAGAGAAAAGCAAGGATGGACAGCAGCAGCAGCAGCAGCCTTTTCTTCCCACAAAGCCTTTCTCCACTCAGCCCCCCATTTATCATATCAGCAGTGCTGAGGAAGGAAGAGGAAACTAAGCAGGCA